TCGGCTGAATGTGCTTCAGCAATGGTCTCGACGCAGCCGCAACATCAAGCCCGGTAACACTGTCCTCTGCATTGTGGCTTGTAGCTTGCCGCCAGTGACTATCCAGATATGTTGATTTTATTGTATGCTTTTCTCATAGGTTTGACAGATTGGTGTTGTAGTGTACTCCAGTCGGCTCCGCTCGAGCTTTGTTGGGGTCGTGAATGAAATTACTTGTTTCTGTACTCCAAGCATCCTCTATAATATAATGGATATTGTCTCTCCCTTTCTCTTCCTCTGGCACGCACCAAATTATTCGGTAACGAGAGTAGCGTCGCCAACCATGCCCGATTTGTAGAGTGTGGTATAAATTGCTTTCTTAACTGTATCTGGTCAGGCGTAGTTGTACAATCGAATATGCTCCAGCTTGTAGTAATTGTGCTATTTCTTTACACCTCTACAGGCAATATTTGCAATTCCAATACTTTTGCGGGGTAGGGTACTACACTAGTTCTGCTTCCAGTATATCCATTGTACAGCGTCGGTGCATTATTTGTGCGGCAGTGGATGAATCTACAAATTCGTGTAAGCAAAGCTATCTTTGTGAACGCGCTTATGGCACACTGTGTGCTGGTGGCATAACTGTGTTTCGGAATGAGTGTGCTCCGCATACTGTGCGGGCGGACAAGTCCTGCTGTATCTGTCTTACTGAACGCATTGTGCGTTGTGCTATGTTTCAACGGTCTTGGCCAATGAGTGCATTGTGCACTGAGTGTCGGCGATGATTCCTGGTGTAACTGTCCTAATTGACAAGCACATTATGCACTGTGTGGTAAAACTGTGTTTCTGGATGAGTGTACTTCCTATAGTGTGTTGGTGAACATGTCCTGTTGTATCTGTCTCACTGGATGAACGCATCGTGCGTTGTGCTATGCCAGAACTGTCTTACTTGATGAGTACATTGTGCGCTGAGTGTCAGTGTTGATTCCTGGTGTAACTGTCTTAATCGACGAGCACATTATGCGCTGTGCAATATCACAATGAGTCCCAATAGAACTGGCTCACTGAAGGAGTGCATCGGGAGCTGGGGGACGTCTGACGAATCCCGGTATGTCTGACTGGAAGAGTGCATTGTGCGCTGCGAGATGACGGAGGATGCCCAGTATAACTGTCTTATTGGAAGAGTGCATTGCGCACTGTCCAATGCCAGACAAACCCCTCTAGATCTGTCGCCCGGGATGATTGCGTTCTACACTGTGCGACGCCAGATGAGTTCCCATATAACTGTCTCACTGGATGAGCGCCTTATGCACCAATCAACGTAAGGCACGTCCAGCCCGGCAGTGTCCGCCACCTCCCAATATCAATGTGTTACTAGTTGACGTATTGTGCAATGTAAGATGTCAGTTGAGTCTCTGTACGATTGTTTCAACGAATGAGTGCATTATGCCACGTACAATGTTGGGTTGAGTCCCAGTAGAATGGTCTTACCAGATGTACGTATTGTTTACCGAGAGTTATATGTCGAGTTCCAGTATCAGTATGTCTCATTAGAGGAGTGCTTTGCATACGGTGTGGAGTCAGCTGTGTCCTAGTCAAAATGTCTTACTGGAGGAGTTCATTCCAGTATGTCTTATTCGCTCATCCGATTGTGTACTATACGATGTCAGATGAGTCCCAGTCTGACAGTCTTTATGGTTGCATTGGGTAGTGTGTAATGTCCGCCACCTCCCAATATCAATGTCTTACTACATGTAGTTGACGTATTGTGCAATATGCGATGTCAGTTGAGTCTGTATGAGCGTCTCGATGAATGAATGCGTTCGCCACGTACCAGGTTGGACGGGTCCCAGTAGAATGATCTTACCGGCTATACGTTTCGGTCACCAAGAGTAAAATATTGAGTTGCAGTATCATTATCTGTCCTATTAGAGGACTGTCTTGCATACTGTGTGTTGTCAGCTGTATCCCAGTAAAAATGTCTTACTGGAGGAGTTCATTCTATACTGTGCGAAGTCAAATTTGGCCCACTGTACTAGTCAGATTGGACAGGTGTTGCGTGCACTTTGCAAAACAGATCAGACCTAACTTACTGGCTTCTTGCATGGGCTCTGTGTGTTCTGTGTGAGGCCTGGCGGCCCTGTGTGAATATTCCTGGATTAATTCCAACAAATTCATGCTGTGAACTTAATCATGCCGGCCCTATCGGTTTTCACTTGTCCCGAGTCTGTTTGTGGCACAACCCTGTACATTATTCTTGCATCCAGATGACTTACTCTGCTGTTCTGTGTACTTTTCCTGCTTGTTCTTTCTCCTTTCTCTTCTCTACTCCCTGCTTTAGAGTACTTCAGGGGTTGGCTATGGTAGGATTGATTCTGTTCAGCCCAAACTGAACCGATATATCTGCTATCTGTGATCTTTATAGTCGCCACTTGCTGTTCAGTCAGGTTTGATAATCAGATGCCTTGTTCATGTGCACTGCGTGGAAGTATCACTATCACCTACCTGTTATTACAGTACGGCCAGCACTGCTCAGCTCTTCACCGAAGCAGCCACTATCATTCGATATGGTCAAGTCTTGGCTGGCCAGTTCCTGACACCTGAACTACTATAGACACTCTACATGCTCTCACATTCAGTTTGGTGGGTTGTTCCTCATCACTGAACTGGGACATACTGCACCAGATCAGGGTGCTAGCTCCTTGGACTATGAGCAACTTTGTGTACGTCATATCCTACTTGTTTTTGTCATGTATTCTCTCTGTCAGTCTCCCTGTTTTGTTTGCATCTCTCTGCCTTCTTCCTCGTTGTCGCCGCGCTTTGCTTTTTCTGAGTCAAATCCGGCTGCGGCCAACTACCCTTCACTTTGTGTGTTGTCGCTATTGCTGTCTATGTCTCTGTGTATGCCAGTATGTGTGGAGCGAGAATCTAGAAGTTAATGGAAGAGGGAACAGAGTTAGAGCATTTTCGTCTTTTGTCTTTAGTTCGTAGCCTATCCATTGCCCACTCCCAGCGAGTAAAGTGCAGGTGGACATTGACCTTCTCTTTGAACATCTGCAATTCTTTCCTTGTTCACGGGTTCAGCAGAACACACTGCGGGAGCTGGTTCCAGACCTCCACAACATGCTGAGGGAAGGACGAAAGTACATCATTCCGTTCATTCCGATCCAAGTGAACAGGCGTCCACGGGCGTCCACGGCGTCTGTTGGCGCAACGGAACGCCTGCCGGCTGGTTGCCCTGTGCGACACTCTCGTGCGCTGTGTCCGGAGACGTTGCAGGTGCTGCATTCGTGAGAGAGAGTGTTACATGCATGTTAACTACAGTTAATACTACGCCTAAACTGAGATTTAAAACTCATTGGTTGTGATTCGGGTGGAAACCCGCTAGAGGCTACCCTGCGTAAGGGCCTCGAAGTTGGAGAAGATTGTGTCACCATCAACCATTGTGATCAGCCATGCCAATGATGAAGAGGAAGTGGTCAACATTGACCTTACGAAGCTAGACTCAGCTCCTGTATTTCCGGACACTGCGGATGTCCACAACGCTCAGCCGAGCCCTGCCGAGAGTGACAGTGAGAGTGAAAATAGTGATAGTGGAGCCTTCAGCCTGAAATTTGACGGCGGAGGCAGTGACTCAGTCCCACTGTGATATTGTTCCTGAGTAGTGGCGTCTGGAAGGAGAGGTGTAATAGATCGACTTAGTAACTGTCGACCCCACCTCATCTCTCTCTCTCTCTCTCTCTCTCTCTCTCTCTCTCTCTCTCTGTATCTCTCTCTCTATTCCTTTCTTGATATCAAACACATTAACTGTTGATCACTACGTATCAATTATTGTTAAGCTTTGTATTATTAATTCGCGCTGTGTTCGTGACGTTCTTCCTTTTTCCAGTACTATTGTGCGTGCACATGATGACGTAGGTCGCCATTTTGTCCGTTTCATGTTGGTGCGCAGGCCTTTATCCTTTTTTTCTAGCTCTTTTAGTTTTATATATAGAGGCCGAGTTTTCCGCATCTGTAGGAACGCCACCACCCTTCAAGGATCAAGGCGCAGATGCAGCTCCTAAAGAGTCTGACGCGAACCGAATTTTTTTAAATATTTTTTAAAAGTTTTATTTCTTCTTGTGCAAAACCAAGTAACTAGTCCAATGTCGAGTGGGCTGTGAGTGTTGTGTGTTGGCCAGTGTAGACAGGGTAGTTCACAACAACGCCAAACATAATGACATCTTGCATACGCATGAATGCTTCATTTGCATTACAATACAAGTGTCTCAAAGCAGCACACTATTCCCCAAAAGGTCGTTATTGTCTGTGATAGGTTCGAAGGCATGAGGGATAGGGTAAGAACTTAATATACAAGAAGACACAAAAATACGCCCAACCCTCTGCTGCCACCGAGAGGCAATTCAAAAGCACAGCACGGATGCCTGCAATGAACAAAAAACTGGTGCAACATTGGCATACCTGAGTGTTCTCCCCATGTGGGTTGGTAGATTGGTTTTGTTCAGGACAAGAAAATACGCCACTGGAAATTCAACCAACCAAGTTTAGCAGAGACCTCTTCATGCAGATTTACACAAACCACCATTATTGTATGGGTTACGCACAAAGACATGACTGATTGTACTGTTCAACTATCTTACCTGCCACTGCAAGTGTAACATTGTGCAAGTGTACAAAATACCAAAGAATTCCAATCTAATAGCCGGTTACTTTACAGAACCATAATTGTGTTCCGTGCGATTTCACGTGAAAACATACACCGAACTTCATCAAGACACTGGACTTATAAGCATGTTTTGAGTTGACGCAAGGAACTCAATAGTGTTGTCTAGGCTATTGAAGATAGTGAAAACTGTTGTTCTCCTTTGAAAAAGTTTTCCAATTGTGCATGTATTATTGTGTGTACAACAGATGAACATGAGACCTGGTACACATGCACGGGACCGGACTATGTACAACCGTATAATCTTTCTTTTCTGTTCACACACTAACAAGGATGCACCAGGGATATCCTGACTTACATTAGTCTTTGGTTCCAACGAATGTCCAGAATTAAGTAGATGTTCTGCTACGGAAACATGACCATTACATGCTGCAAGGTGTAATGGTGTCCAACCATCCTGGAAGTAGCATTGTTAATGAATACAAACCAAGTACACACAAATTCACATAAACATACACAAATACACACATACACATGCCGATTCCCAAACACATAAAATATGCATATGCATGAACGCACACACACTCATGCACACGCACACACACATACACACACACACACACACACACACACACATGCACACATAGACACACACACACACATACATACACACACAACCATGCATGTGCAAAAACACACACACACAAACAAACAAACACAGTTAATGAGTAAAGATCACACCGACAATGGCATAGGGATTTCTGGATCATTATCAATGAATATTTCTTTGGGAATTAATGAACAGTTTCTTTGGACACAAGAATACAATTTTCACTAGTATACTTTCATGCCTGATCATCAGGTGAAATACAGGCAAAATTCAATGAACATGGCATGGCTCATGTTGTGTGTGATTGTGTGCGCTTGTGCATGTTCATGAATGTTGAGCACACACACGCAGGCGTACATATGTGTGTGCGTGCATGAGAGCATGCCGTTTACTTTGCATATGCATGCTACTGCAGGTGTGCGTATGTGACGTATTTGTGTGGGCAAGGGGTACTTGTTTGTGAGTGTGATTATGTCTCTCTCTCTCTCTCTCTCTCTCTCTCTCTCTCTCTCTCTCTCTCTCTCTCTCTCTCTCTCTCTCTTTCTCGCTCTCTCTCTCTCTCTCTCTCTCTCTCTCTCTCACTCTCTCTCTCTCTATTACTTTCTTGATATCGAACGTATTTAATATTGATCACTACATATCAATTCTTGTTGAGCTTTGTATTATTTATCCGCGCTCTGCTCGTGACGTCCATCCATTTTCCAGTATTATTTTTCTAGTATTGTTGTGAGTGCACACGATGACGTAGGTCGCCATTTTGTCCATGTGATCTTGGTGCGCGAGCCATGATCCTTTTTCTCTTGCTCTTTTAGTTTTAGTTCTTCTTGTGCAAAAGCAAGTAATTGGTCCAATGTCGAGTGGGATGTGAGTGTTGGCAAATAATTTCCGTTTGTCCATGGCAGGCAAGGACCTGAAGGTGAATGGATGCCTTGATAGGATCCGGGCACTGCGAACAGCAACCGACACCAGAGTTGGTGCAGTGTCCGCAGCTGCCACATTTGTGCAAGACAGTGTTGCCACGCCATCACCGCAGCTTTGCTACCATTGTGGAGAACCGGGCCACTTCAAAAGGCATTGCCCGAAATTATCCCTAGCAGGGAATGGTACAAAACAAGAGCACCGGCGCAAGGACCTGTTCTGCCACTTCTGTGACAAGAAAGGGCATGTCAAGAAGGACTGCGTGCTGAGACAAAAGTGGCTGGATACACATGGTAGCTGCTAAGTTGATGGGGCCTCAGTCTAATCCAAGGGCGTGTACTTCCTGGCATCTGCATCATCATCGTGCACGAAGCTACCTCGTGTGTTTGTTGAATGTTCTGGTCCTAACGCGAGTGACAGTGAGCGTGCTGCAGCAGTGATAGACACTGGCTCCACCCGGACGTTAGTAACAGAATCCCTGCAGCATTGCCTTGGTCTCGATGTGACGCCACTGACGAATAGTGACAGTGTTGCAGCGCTGGATGGCAACACCATGCAGACGTGTGGTACAGTGACCCTCACGTTTTGGAGGCATGACAGACCAGTGAGTATACATGAAGTGGTATTGAATGCTGTCGTTGTGCCTGATCTGTATGTAGTGGCCGCCGGCGTACTGATTGGCATTGACCTGGTGACTTTGTGTGGGCGCCTGTCTGTAGAGCATGCGAATGATCAGCTTGTGCATGTCGTAATTCGGCCCGGTCCAGCTCACGCAGATAGTAGCCCGCCAGTGCAATTCGCATCAGTAGCTGTGGCGCCTCCTGAACAGTCTACACGATTGCTAGTGTATGAGGATCAGCCGGCCGACGGTATGGCCCCTAATGCTAACAACGAAGTTCTCCAGCCAGTCGCCGATGACTCACCAATGCCTGCAGCTCCGACGCGCCCGCCTTCAAAGCTGTCTCATCATGTCCAAGTAGAGAGTGACGACAACGATGTCATCTCTCTCTCTCTCTCTCTCTCTCTCTCTCTCTCTCTCTCTCTTTCTCGCTCTCTCTCTCTCTCTCTCTCTCTCTCTCTCTCTCTCTCACTCTCTCTCTCTCTATTACTTTCTTGATATCGAACGTATTTAATATTGATCACTACATATCAATTCTTGTTGAGCTTTGTATTATTTATCCGCGCTCTGCTCGTGACGTCCATCCATTTTCCAGTATTATTTTTCTAGTATTGTTGTGAGTGCACACGATGACGTAGGTCGCCATTTTGTCCATGTGATCTTGGTGCGCGAGCCATGATCCTTTTTCTCTTGCTCTTTTAGTTTTAGTTCTTCTTGTGCAAAAGCAAGTAATTGGTCCAATGTCGAGTGGGATGTGAGTGTTGGCAAATAATTTCCGTTTGTCCATGGCAGGCAAGGACCTGAAGGTGAATGGATGCCTTGATAGGATCCGGGCACTGCGAACAGCAACCGACACCAGAGTTGGTGCAGTGTCCGCAGCTGCCACATTTGTGCAAGACAGTGTTGCCACGCCATCACCGCAGCTTTGCTACCATTGTGGAGAACCGGGCCACTTCAAAAGGCATTGCCCGAAATTATCCCTAGCAGGGAATGGTACAAAACAAGAGCACCGGCGCAAGGACCTGTTCTGCCACTTCTGTGACAAGAAAGGGCATGTCAAGAAGGACTGCGTGCTGAGACAAAAGTGGCTGGATACACATGGTAGCTGCTAAGTTGATGGGGCCTCAGTCTAATCCAAGGGCGTGTACTTCCTGGCATCTGCATCATCATCGTGCACGAAGCTACCTCGTGTGTTTGTTGAATGTTCTGGTCCTAACGCGAGTGACAGTGAGCGTGCTGCAGCAGTGATAGACACTGGCTCCACCCGGACGTTAGTAACAGAATCCCTGCAGCATTGCCTTGGTCTCGATGTGACGCCACTGACGAATAGTGACAGTGTTGCAGCGCTGGATGGCAACACCATGCAGACGTGTGGTACAGTGACCCTCACGTTTTGGAGGCATGACAGACCAGTGAGTATACATGAAGTGGTATTGAATGCTGTCGTTGTGCCTGATCTGTATGTAGTGGCCGCCGGCGTACTGATTGGCATTGACCTGGTGACTTTGTGTGGGCGCCTGTCTGTAGAGCATGCGAATGATCAGCTTGTGCATGTCGTAATTCGGCCCGGTCCAGCTCACGCAGATAGTAGCCCGCCAGTGCAATTCGCATCAGTAGCTGTGGCGCCTCCTGAACAGTCTACACGATTGCTAGTGTATGAGGATCAGCCGGCCGACGGTATGGCCCCTAATGCTAACAACGAAGTTCTCCAGCCAGTCGCCGATGACTCACCAATGCCTGCAGCTCCGACGCGCCCGCCTTCAAAGCTGTCTCATCATGTCCAAGTAGAGAGTGACGACAACGATGTCATCCTGAAGGTTGACGACGGCGAGATGCATTGGATGTCGGCGGAGAAGCTTTGGGAGGTTAAATGGGTATAGAAGTCTGGTGAAGAACCAAATGGCTGTGATGGTCCGGGTATCAGCGAGTACCCGCGGAAGAAGATTACGGCAGAAGAGGAAACACAGTTCTTCTCCGCTGTGGAGGAGTGGATTGGGCGAGGCTGTCTGGTGAAGCACGCCGCTGACACCCATGGTCGCCCAGTCTGTGTCTTGTCGTTGATTGCTGTGAGTCAGCCGCACAAGACGTCTACGCCTGTGCATCCGGTGTTAGACTATCGGCACTTGTACAAGTTGTTAGTGTCCCACCCTGGAACTAAGTTACCTGTGTACGCACGTGCGTGAGTGTGTATGTGTGTGTTTGTGTGTGTGTGTGTGTTTGTGTGTTTGTGTGTGTGTGTTTTTTTACTATTATTCACAAACCCAACTCGTAAAATAAATAATTATGTGGACAAAACAAACAGCTACTGAGCAGGGGCTGCACTGGCCAGCAGTGGTGGTGAGGTACCAGGGGCTCCACCGACCAAAGGTCAGGGCTTCAATGCCACAAGCACGCACCAGGAAAAAGAAACAGAAATGTAAAGCAAAGCTAGATCTAGCTATGGGGAAGTAGAATGTGTAAAAGTGCCGGTTGGTGTTTAGAAAAATAAAAACAAGATGAAAAGAGAGGTTCTAAGTTCGTAAGATGAAAAGAGATTGTAAATTATCAGTGTTTGGACTGATGTACAATGTGCATGTACATGTCAACTTCATCAACCAAAACTTATGAACTTTTTCAATAGATCTGATCATGATGATAAAGGGAAGGCCTCTTTTACGGGCAAAGCAAAGCACAATCATCACCATGTATCAGTACAGTGAGTAGTTAAACAAGCGCCTCGGCTTTCTCCGACGAGCGGCCCACATTCTAACGCCAGCTGGCCGAACGACTGTCTACAAGGCATTCACGCCGCGCACTGCGCATCATTGGCCCTGGTGCAATTCTCCCCAGTCTGGCTGTCCGCCGGACTGTTGCTGCTCTCTCGTGCATGTACAAATTGCATTTCATTACTGGTCCTCCTCAGCTACTTGCTGTATTGCCACCGCATCGCGTTTCTCCAGCCAACCCCAGAACCAGGAACCAGCACAATAATGCCACCAGCCACGCCTATCAACTGTCAGACACACTCCCTGTCTCAGCTCCATCCATCGTGAAGCGGTCGTTCCCGTACTGCTGTATTGGCGCATGGAACTCCCTTCCTGACAGGCTGCTGTCGCAGCGCCCACACAAAAAACGTTTTCAGTCATTCAAGACAAAGGTCTACCGACACCTGAGAGACAGCAACTGGTACTGGGCAACAGATTCCCTGTAATTTTTCGAGCTCGTCGCTTGCCGGACCCGCTAATCCGCGTACCTGGCCTTGCTCAGAGTGCTCAGCTGTGTTTTGCATACATGGAAAAACTTGTTATGATTATTTTCTTTTCTCTGCATA